GCTGCAGCCCCTCCTGGCACCCGGAGCCGGCCACGGCGCTCACTGTGCCTGTCTCCCCCAGGAATCGCTCTTCGCCTCCCAGGAGAAGTTTTTCCAGGACTTGTTTGACAGCGAGTTGGCCTCGCAGGCCACGGCAGAGTTCGAGAAGGCCATGAAGGAGCTGGCCGAGGAGGAGCCACACTTGGTGGAGCAGTTCCAGAAGCTGTCGGAGGCAGCGGGACGAGTCGGTGAGTGGCACTGGGTCCCTGCGCGCGGGCAGGGAGTCAGTGCTGGGCCAGGGGCTGCCCTGGAGCACCCTCCTTGCTGCCGCCGAGAGAGGCTTTCTGTGGATGATGCTTGTCCCGCCTGGGTCCCGGGAGCCTTTCAGCTTCCAGCAATCCCGGCTGAAGCCGACTCTGCCAAGGGAGCTTAGGATTTGGCCTTGCTGCCTTTCTATCCTTACGGAAATGAAGATCTCACTGTATCCCGTCTGTGGAGCATATCTTGGAGGCTGCTCATCCTCAGTCCCTGCTGCCGGGAGGAGACCTGCATGGCTTGGAATCCTCAAGAGAAGTTTGGGCTTGGAGTCCCAAACGTTGTCTTGTGATGCTTAGCGCCGGGAGGTGTACGGAGAAGCGGATTTGAAAGCAAGATCCTTCCTCCCACTTTCTGTAGCAGCACTCGCAGCTGGGCTGGAGGGCCCCTGGTAACGTGTTGTGTGTCGCTGAGGTGTCTGGCTGCAATTAGAAGCGCCACAGAGCTACTTGGGGCTTAATTATGCTCCCTTAATTAGGTTGGGTTTACTCCAGGAGAGGGTTGAGAAACTCTTGCAGGGCTGTGCGCGCAGGGCGGACCTGCTCGGAGCCGGCCAGCGGCCGGAGCCCCTCTCTGGGGAGGTGACAGACGTCGGTGTCCCCGCAGGCACCTCGGCTCGTCCGCGTCCCTCACCGAGAGCAGCTCCCCGTCCCCGGGACGCGGCTGGATGCACTCAGCGAATGTCACGCAAGCAGCAAACGCGCTCGGTACAGTTACCCTCCCTGCTCACTGGCTCAGGGAGCTCAGTTGCTTACGCCACCGCGCCGAGGTTTGTTGCATCCTGGTGAACTCCTCAGGTAGCGCAAGACAGGTTTAAAATGAATCCTGCCTCATCGGGCTTAGACACTGACACCCAACTGGCCTCTCTGGTGCTGGTCAGCCAGGGGTCTGGGACCAAGGACAAGGGCAGAGCAGCGTGTGCTGCCCCAGGCTAAGATTTCCCTGCTCCGTGTGCCGGGGACTGGTGTGCCAGGCTCCGGATTGCCAGCTCAGGAGCAATTGGCTGGCCTTGCCACCCGGTGCCACAATAAGGAGTGGCGGATCCTTCCGCATTCCCGGGACAGTTGAGCAATTGCTGTTGTCACCTGTTGTGCAGGGCAAAGTTCGGTTTGGTGAAAGATGGGACAAAGTGCATCCTTGCAGGAGGAGAGGCCCGTGGCTCAGTTTTCCTTCTCTGGCCATCGGAGAGTGCGGGATGAAGTCGCCCCTGGGAGCTGCTGAGTTGTTGTGGTCAGAAGTGGGGCCTGGTGTTGTCCCCAAGGATGGAAGTTTGCCCAAAACTGCATCCTGCGTGATGAGGACAGGGACTAGTGGGGAAAGAGGTGCGGAGGACATGGCAACAGACTGCAGGAAAGTCCCAGGGAAGGCTGAGGCCCCTGCTGAGCTCCTCACACCACGCTGGGTGTTTGCAGCCCCTGGCTGGTGTGTCCCTCTTGCCCTGGGCAGCAGTGACAGCCCGAGGGCAGCAGTGTGCCACGCGCTGCTGGCCGTCACCAGGTGTCCATGGATGCTTTTGTGGGGCCTGGAGTCTCCAACAAACCCCGCCACATCTCAGGGTGGAGAGGGTGAAAGGCAGTGCTCCTGGCATGGGCATGTTCCCACAGCGGGCACCAGGACAAACTGCTCCACCACCAGAGATGCATCCTCTGTTTTGCTGTGGCCTGGGACCACCATCCCCAGGCTGCCCATCCGCCTGGTGAACACCCCTTGCATGAGCTGATTCCGGCGGTGGCACAAGCAGAGATTCACCATGGGGATCAGCAGCCACATGGCACTCACTGGAAGTCCCTGCTTCAGGGTGGCACTTCCCTGCTGTGTGCAAGGGGTCCTGGCTGCCTCTGCTTGTGTTGGAGGTCTGAGTCGTGGGGCAGGGTGGAGAAGAGGGTCTGGGCATCCTCCAGGGGGTTATCCCAGTGCCATGGGCTTCCAAACTGGGCAAGCTGGGCTTTCCTTCCAGATGCAAATGAGAGCTCTGGGGGCTAAAAGCTGAGCCTGGTTAAGGGAGGCCCCCATGTCTCCCACGGAGCCCCCCTGACCCCGCGTCTCTCCCGGCCTCACAGGGAGTGACACTGCGTCCCAACAGGAGTTCACGTCGTGCCTCAAGGAGACGCTCAGCGGCTTGGCCAAGAACGCCAATGACCTGCAGGTAGAGCCGGAGCAGGGACCTCCAGCTTGTGCTGTCCCCCTAGGGCGCCTGGCACGGTGGGCGCCCTGTGGGACACTCGCTGTCCCCAGGGTCCCCACACTGAGGCTCTCTGTGCAGAACTCCAGCGTGTCAGAGGAAGAGTTGGCCAAAGCCATCGAGGGGCTGGGCCTGGAGGAGGGTGACGGCGAGGGCAACATCCTGCCCATCATGCAGAACATCATGCAGAACCTGCTCTCCAAGGAGGTGCTCTACCCCTCACTCAAGGAGATCACGGAGAAGGTGAGGGGCTGGTGCTGGGGTGAGCACCGTGGCCCCCTGCCCCGGCTCCAACCCTTCTCCTCTGCCCTCAGTACCCCGAGTGGCTGCGCCTGCACCGCGACTCTCTGTCCGAGGAGCAGTACGAGAAGTACCGGGAGCAGCACAACGTCATGGGCAAAATCTGCCAGCAGTTCGAGGCCGAGCGGCCCACAGACAGTGAGGCTGAGCAGAAAGCCCGTTTCGAGATGGTCCTGGACCTCATGCAGCAGGTGAGACGTGGACAGTGCCTCGGACACCCCCACCGGGCTTGCTGTCCGCCCCCTCTGCCAATCTGCTCCTGTCTCTTCCAGCTGCAGGACCTGGGACATCCTCCCAAGGAGCTGGCAGGGGATTCGGTGAGTGTCTGAGCAAGGTGGCCCCACGGATCCAGCTCGGCCCCGATGTCCTTGAGCCAGGAGTTCCTTGCTGGCTGGCTGAGGACCTGAGGGAAGGATGCTCTGAGCCCCCCGCTCGTGGGGACGGAGGGAGGTGACACGGCCTGGGGTGGGGGCTGGCGACGTTCCGAGCTCCCCGCGTGCTTGTAGGGTCCCAGCGCTGCCTGGGTGGCACCTGGAGCAGCCCTGCAGTGGAGCTCTGCCTGCTGCAAGGTGGTTGAGTGGCTCTGGAAGGGACGGCTGGAGCATGAGCCACCCCGCCTGGCCTCAGTCTTCTGCCCCCCAGCCCCGTTCTGTCCCTCCCGGTGGTAGGGAGATCCGTGTCTCCTAAGGGCAGTCGGGGACACTGGCTCTCTCCCAGCGGCAGCTCTGGACGCCCTTCACTGCTTGTGTGACCATGACGGGGCCGAGTCGTGGAGTCCCCTTCACCGGTTGTGTGACCATGACGGGGCTGAGTCGTGGAGTCGGGGGGCTTTGGCGGCGGCTTCTGGGGCCACCAGGTCCTGCCGGGGCCACCAGGTCCTGCTGGCCGCTGACCCTCACCTCTCTCTCGCCCGCAGCCCCCCGGCCTGAACCTGGACCTGGAGGGCCTGAGCCTGCCGGACGCGGCCACCACGGGGGGCGAGCAATGTCGCCTCATGTGACACCGACCCCCCACCCCCCTTTCCGGAGCTCATTAACTACTA